TTAAATTTTGAGACAGGCTTTCACTAAGTTGCTGAGTTGCCCAGGGTTGGCTTGAACTTGCCACCCTCCTGACTCAGCCTCCCAGAGTGCTGATGTTACAGGTGTGCACCACTAGCCCCAGCTCCATTCTTTAATCAGAAAATCACTGCCACTGCCTGTCTCTGATTCTTTTCCAACAATCTCAGTGAGATCGGTTTCTTCCCTCTAGAAAACTAAGCTCCCTATGCATACCTGAGACGCCAGTCTTCCACATCAATCATTTTGTCTCCTTCACCTCAAAACTTCTGAACACCTCAGGCTCTGTACTGTCATCTTCCTCAGTCTTCAAACATAATTAGCTTGAGTCCCTCCAAGGAAGAGTGTCCCTTGGGTCTAAAAGCTCTCTTTCTTTCTGGCCACTGTGGGTACTGAGTCTGGCTGAACCTTCTCCTGTTTCTCTAATGACTCCTTTTCCGTGCCCTGTATTGATTCTGGCTTTAGCTCTTCACTCCTTCCACATTGCTCTTAGTCCTTCATCCATTCATTTATTTGTAGATTTGGGTCTTCTAGGAAGATGACCTAGTACCTGCCTGGCATCAATCTAGGCAGGGGAACACAGCAGCAAAGAGAAACAACAAGGTTGCTTTCATGGAGAAGAAATATTCTGATGGGAGAAGACAGAAAATAAGCAAGTACATAAACTAAAAATAAAATAAATGTTGACAGTGAAAAAAAAAAAAGACCTGAGAAACTAACAGGGTAAAGAGTAAAGTAGCTGCAGGTGAGGGAGGTCAGCAGTGGCCAATTTAGAAAGAGTGACCAGCACAGGGCCAGGGATTTAGCTCAGTGGTTCTGGCGACTGCCTCGCAACTGCAAGGACCTGAGTTCGATCCCTGGTACCAAAAAAAAAAAAAATTTTAAAAAAGAGTGACCAGCACATTTGAGGTAAGACCAAACTCGCAAGAAACCAGTTGCAGGATGAAGAGCATTCTAAGCAGAGGGGACACTGGGTGATAGCACTAAAATAATAATAGTTGGGAAAACCTTGATAAGGTTGAGTACATTTTTAAAAAATTAAGTGCAGTTGGAATATTGTAGACAAGACAGACAGCAGCAGATGTGTGTGGAGAGGCAGCCGTGGCTCAGGGCCAACCTTGCCAGGCCATGGGGAGAAGTCCAGATATTATTTAGGTGCAGGGAATTGCCATGGGAGGGCTTTATGCAAAGAAACATGCTTGGCTCTATGTACATAGGTTCTGCAACCATGATTTCCACTAACTATGGATAGAAAATACTTGGGAAAAAACAGTGTCTGTACTGAAACTGTGCAGACTTCTTTTCTTGTCGTTATTTCAAAAAAAATAATATAACACAATTTACATATACTGTGTTAGGTATTATAAGTAATCTCAAGATGGCTTAAAGGGCATGGGAGGATGTGTCGTAGGTGCAGATAGTATGCCATTTTATATAAGGGACTCGGGCATTCCTGAATCTTGGTATCTGGCACCATTTCCCCCATGGACACCAAAGCATAACTTATAGAATGTAGATTGTTGTGAATACTGTTTGGGAAATAGTTTCACCCATCCACTGTAAGGGCAGGATAGTCATCAAGCTGGAAAAGGCCAAACAAATACCAGCAAAGAAGGACTGAAGCAAAAATAGCAGCAGAAATAACTTACTCAATTTAAATGTAAAAATTCTTTGAAGTTGGGTGTGTTGATGCACGTCTGTAATCACAGGTACTTGGGAGGCTGAGACAAGAGGATTGCGAGTTTGAGCCCAGCCCAAGCAATATAGCAAGACCATCTCAAACAAACAAAGCCAGTGTACTTCAGGAAACTTCAGGTATCTGCAAAAGTGCCTGAGGACCATCATCAAAAAATCAAGGAAAACAGCAGATGATTGAAGAGAACAAATGCTGTTATTTTTAAGAGGGAAAGACATGAGAATGGCTTATAGGAACCAGAGACAAAAATGTTTTTTTCCAAAACCTCTTCTAAAAGCCTCAAAGTCACCATTTAAAATAGGGTGATAAGTAGAAAACATTACAAATATTAAGAATATGTATAAACGGACCTAAAACTTATAAAGTGAAGCCAAACATGATGTGGTAGTTTGGATGGTGGTAAAATCATCAGACTGAAAAAAGTCACTTTATGTATCCCAAAGAATCCCAGAGATGTATAGAACATTACCACATTCTATTCTAGATTTCTAACATACAGAATATTTTTCTCCTAAATATTACTGTTATTGGATAACAATTGTTTGAACACAACAAAAGGTACTTCATTCCATTTTGGAATTGTTTAAAATGTGTTGCTGGGCTGGAGATTTAGCTCAGTGGGGCCTCCGCCTGACCTGCAAGCACAAGAACCAGAGTTTGATCCCCTGTACCAAAATAAATAAATGAATAAATAAAAATAAAATGTATTGCTGAAAATTTATTCCACGTAAATGTACATGATTAATCCTATTTCTTTCTTATGAATTATTACAAATCTACTTCCTCTCATATATGACTCTGATTTAAATTTTCTAAATGTGTTGTGCTTTACATATGGAAAGTAAAAAGATGTGTTTGAGTGATTATGATTGCACTAAACAGGTTTTGTTAGTGGCTCATTGTCAAGGTAGCGTGATATTTTCGGACTCTGTTTTTGTTTTTCCTATTCATTTTTTTAAAACTCAATATGGATCAAGGGCCAGGGATTTAGCTCAGTGGTTCCACTGCCTGCCTTGCCAGCTCAAGAACCCGAGTTCGATCCCTGGTACCAAAACAAACAAACAAACAAACAAAAAACTCAATGTGTATCAAGTGATTGCCCAGAGACAAAAGAAAGGTTAAGAAGAGAGATATATGGGGTGATTGGGTCACAATTCAATAAAAAATATTAACAGAATGATACAGTACTTGGTTGAAACCAATGCATTTTAACCACAGTACATGCAAAGTTTCATAATAACATTTCCAAAATATACAAGTACAAAAACAATTCTGCAACAGGTCAAGTGAAAAATACTATAGGATTATATTTTATTTTATTTTTTGGTACCAGGGATCCAACTCGGGTCCTTGCTCTTGCAAGATAGGCGGCAGAACCGCTGAGCTAAATCCCCAGCCCCTATGGGATTTTAATTGAGCACAAACTCATTACGACTAAGAAGACACTCAAGTGTATTTAAACAGATACACCCTCAAGTGAGTACGGCCATGCTCCATTGGATATATGTGCATCAGACCACCCATGGAACACTGGTCACTTTGAGAAGTATGTTGATAAACTAACAATCCTCCTGAGAAAGTGACCAGAAGAGTGGCTTAAGATCGAAAACTACTAGAAAATAGTGAACACTCGAGTTAACTCAGGAGGCTTAGCCTAGATTAAAAAAACAAACAAAAAACTTTGTGGTAGTCATAGAAGAAGCACGTGTCTTTTATGGAGAAAATAATATTAGGAGCACTTAATGGAGTTTGGGGAAGAAGGGTGTACAGAATTCAGCTGAGTTTAAAGTTTCCTAACATTAAATGGGATGCACTTGTGAAATAGTAAGTTCTCACAAAGAAAAAGGGCGAGCATGTTCGTTAGGAACGAGGGCAGGGGGCTGTGGATAAGAAAGGAGGTTTAGTCCCCTTCAACTTTCCATGCACGTACAACACAGTATCCTGCAAGAGCTGGTACCCGGATAACGTAGTTTATGGCCTGGAGGCACCTTGCCCAGGAGGACCCCACTGGTGACACTTGCTCTGTGTGGGACTTGCCTGGAGGGAGAGCTTCCTGCGCACTCAGGATCAGCTGTTACTCCGCGTTCCCTTCTGCAACACCGATGTTAAACTTCCCCTTTTGTCGAGAAGGCAGGAGGGGATGAGGAGAGGGCGGCCAGCCGGTCCAGGCTTTTCTACCGATCTTTCGTTATTCATCTCTCATTTCAGTTCCAGGCATTCCTAATCTGTTATGTCAACGTGAGTTTATAACCGAGTGTTGAAGGTTTAGGTTTCCCTTCCAGAAATTGGGCAGGGACACTCTAACAGCTGCTAGGATTAGGGAGTGGCTAATAGGGAAGGCGCCAAGCCGCAATCTACTTTAAAAGATAAAAAAATAATAATAATAATAAATAAAAGTGCGATAGGAGGGCTGCGCACAAGATGGAGAGGGAAGAAGCCCTCTGACCGCCCCCCAACCCCAAGCTTCTCTTGCCTGACATCTGGTTCACCTCTCGGGGGTGGGGTGCACACACGGACAGGTGTGCCTCACGCTTCTGCCCTTGGACAGTCATGTCGAGTCACTGGTGCTGGGAATCAGTTAGTCAAGGCTAGACAATGGCTAGACAGGCTGTATTAGAGGGGATGGGCTCGGGTGGGGGTAAGAAGCCGGGAGCCACAAACAGGGCAGATGACATCACTGATCTGGCCCTCCCCTTCCCGGAGCTAGAGGCCTGCACTTCTGTGCGGGGCAGGAGTGGGGTGGCCGCCTGCAGGGTGTGAGTGCAGGAAGGTGGCGCTCGGTTGCTCGGAGAGGTTGAGTGGTTGAGAGAGCGAGCCCGGGAGTGGGAGCCGGCGCGCAGGGCTGGAGGTGTTTGCGCTGCGCCGGGCTCCGCCCCGTT